ATTGTTATCAGCCTTTCTGAAACCGAATATTCCGAGTTGGACAGTTCGGGGTTACTCAACCCTGAGTATCGTTTTTCACTCTGAGTTTTCTAAACCGGCTTCCTGGAACAGGGCCCAGGACTGGGATTGGATGGCAAACTTGTGACATAATACTGCTTGGTGGCTTTCATGATGAAGTTTTTCTAGAGCAATATCTAAGTATAATTTAAAAATCAAAATCCATAACATATTACAAACTTGAAACTGAAAGAGGAACACATGCCCTGACTCAGTTTCCTGTGAACACCAAAGATTTCCTCCTTGTGTTTCTGGAATACTTTGTGACGATTTTCACCAGTAAGCCAAACGTGGCACAGTGTGGAAAAGCACCTTACCACCACTGCCACCACCACAAACGGTGAACTGAAAACACCAGTGGTCTCAAAATGAAAATGTATCAACTGGAATCAGACCAAACACGACAAGCTAAGATTATTTTAATATAATTCACATTTTACAGATGGAAACGTGGTACAAAAATCCATAAAAAACAAACACCGTTCAAGTATTTAGCAGCTGAGAAATGTTTTCAAGGCACTCCAGTAGGTAGGTGTTCATGTGTTCCTGGTTGCTGTCTGCATCTGCATTTTACAAATAAATAAATAAGAAGTAAGCACAAACAGTGGAATGTGGAAAACCTTCAAATGTACAAATTTGGTACAGAGACAGACGCTGATACGAAACAAAATTCATGCCTACCCTTCTTTGCGATGGTATGAGCCTTCTCAATTCTCAATCTAACAGAAGGACACTTCAAAGCAGTCTTGGCCTTTGAGAGAAAATGAGGAACAGATTATAAAGAGGATAGTAGTTTGTTTTTTCCATAATCAGGAGATTAAAAAACATTGATCATCTTGGATGAAAGTGAGAGAACAGTGAGGCAAATCTCTCTTACAGGCAGACAATCAAGCAGGCAGAGGATTTCATTTGCCACGGATCAGCCATAAACTCAAATACCAGCCATAAAAGCACTAAAATAAAAGTTTTAGTACTAGGATGTGTGTGTGTTTGTACCCTCTGATTGTTATGGAGCAATGCCCAAATTGCAGAAGCTCCCATACAGCGGGTCTCCATCACTTTACTTTCGAGGCAGGATAGCAGCACCTTCATGGCTTTGTCTGAAAGAAACAAAGACGCGCAGATCGTTATGGGGGATTCGCAACTCAATAAGACTTGAAAATGACTTTTTTTGGACACATGCTAGATGCAGGAAGTCTCTTCAGTGCCATAAAAATGAAGAAAAGACCTCAACGAGCTCCAGCTAAAAGAGAGCCCAGAAAAACACAGCTGTAAGCAACACGCTATAAAATGGAGAAAAAAAACAACAACCTTGTTCTACAATGGAAAATTCGCTCCACTCACACTCGTCTCCAGGCGTGCAACAGCTGGAACTTATTCTATATGACATCCGTACCAGCAAAGGAGATCCACCAAAAGATAAGAGGTGGTGGACGTTTGAATCAGTATATAAACATAAAGGCTTTGATTCACTGTATAGGACTCTAATGAAGTCACTGTAGGGGGTTGAAAAGAAATAAATAATAATACAAATAGTTATGACATACATAAACAATTACTATGTTTAATAAAGTGCTCATCATTTTTACCCGATTCAACTACCAACGCTGTGGAAAGTCCCAAACCGACAGAGGTTTCAGATACCTGGGGAAAAACTTGCTGTTTTCTTAATGTAAACAGATTAATCACGAAGTCAAGAAAAGTTCAGGATAATTGTTTTCTAAAGTTTTACAGGGTAAACAACATGAAGCTGATCAAGTGTTTACAATGAGTGCAATCGTGCCATCTGATTTTTCCACCCAGCACATCTGGACTGATCTAATGTGTGAACTCTGAACAGAGCTGTGGAAATGGTACTCTAAGCTTTGTAAGGTTGGTCTGCTTATTTTCCAACTGACTTTGAATCAAGATTCCAAAAAGACAACGTGCTCAAACAAAGATGAAGAAGACATAATGGCAACAAGTTCTGGACCCAAACCTGGAGCATGCAGAGAGCAGGCGCCTGGTTCGGTCATTGAATTCAGCCTTGTTGTATTCAAAACACATCTGGAAAACCTGACAGACTTTTTTTTTCCCACTTCAACCACAACTCACTGAAACTTAGAGGAGAGTAACATAGCGAGAACATATTAATCACCGGATTACTGGCTGTGCATCATCTGCTTTTACAGTACAGGTCCCACAGCATTATTGCAATCAAAGTTTCCTTGAAAGTCTCAGTAGCCTCTGCTCAGTAATTTTAATAGCACATATTTTCTATTAAACGAAGGCTGTTGTAAGCTAGTCTAGACCCTGAAATTAACTTTAACTTAACAGGAAAAGAGTTTATTTCATGTGCAGTGAAGTGAACAAAGGAGAAACGTTTTTTTCCTCCTCTGCTATTATCTGAGTGGCATATCTCGCAGCGACATTAGTCATAAGTCCGTAACTTATTTAATCTTGCTGATTTTCGATCAAGCAATGAGATTTTTTTTTTGCTCATTTTCTCTATTGTGATTGATGGAAATCTTGCTGTATGCAAAACACAGGAAACATGATCTTTCCACAGGAAACCAGATATACGGTCACATAGTTTTTGCACCTGGTCCCACAACTCCCACCTGCAGCGTGCACTGCATGGGGGACACGATCGGTCTTTCATTCTCACAGACTTCCTTTGCTTTCATCTCTGTGTTGTAGAATCACTGATAGTCAGATCTCTGTTGTATTCAGCCCACATTTGCAAACATAAACTTAAAAGGGCTTAATATATTTTTGGTAGCTTAAATTCTCAAAGCTGTTACTGATACCACTCAAGTCTCCATTCTCAATTCAGAAGCTCCGCATCACAGTAATATAATATGTGTACTACACCTAGTATATACGATACTCTTCATACTGTGTGTACTTTCAAAAGTCACTTTCTGTTTGGTTTCAGTTTAGCAGTCCTGACAATATATCCCAGTCCAAGCGTGCCAAAGTTTGGCACGCACGAGTCTGTTTTGTTTTGATTTTTTTTTTTGCACATGATGTAAAACTAAGCAAATAAACAGCGTGAGAGTATTAAATAAAGACCAGACTGTTCATTTTCAGTACATTTGATATATTGCAAACTTTTAAAACAAAGCAATGGTAAGTGGTATGTTTTATTTTCCCTCCTTACAATCTGAGTCAGTGAAGCCTAAGTAACTAACGTGTGGGCCCATTAAGCTTTTGCAACTCTACAGATAGGTTTGTTTAAAAAATAAATCTGATTTAAATTTAATGATCACTCTTTTACAAGTTTGAGGTTCATGCACAGAAGTGCAAATAATGAGACCTGGACAGAGCAACTTAAAAACATGAGACCACTAAAAGAGATCCACAAGTTCATAAGAAGATGACCTGGAAAGGGTAACTCTGGGTAAACTGAAAATCGGGTATGTTTTGTTTTGCATTTTATAGTTGCAGTTAAAGAACTTTATGATGGTAGCACAGAAGTAAGAGAAACTGATCTAAGATGGCTTACTGATGCAAATGGGCTACCACCAGAAAGCACATACCTAAGGTGCACCACAAGTCCCTCTGTGGTTGATGACTTTTACGAAGAGTGAACAAAGTGACTCAGCAGGGAACATTTAGCTGCACTGAATTTTTCCCTAATCACTGACTTGCATTGTGGACACACAATGCTGACAAATCTGCTTACTGAACTTCCCCTTTTGATCTTTTATTTCTTTTTTTCATATCCCTGAGTGCGATTCCTAAATGTAATCCTTGCTTAACTTCCATACCATTGGCAATGACGTGTGACTTGTTGGCAGGGCAGAAGCAGAGGTTCTGAAGGGTGAGCAGCGCGTGCCGTCGATGTGGTGCCAAGTCTGCCAGCAGTTCCAGTGCTCCGGTCAGCCTGAGGATACTCTGCTGGCCGTCCTCTGTGAATGAGAGACTGGCCAGCAGTCTCAGCCATAGGCCCAGAAGGCTCCAACCACTACTTACAGACGTGGCTTTAACACCAGCAGCCTTGGGCACCGGTACTGACAAGAAGGCTTGAAGGAAGTTATTCTGAGAATCACAGAAATGAAACAAGAGTGAACAGAGATTAAAGTTTCAGTCATAACAACAGTGAAAGAGTTTTAGAGAGGGCAAGAGCGAGATTTCCTAACATCATTTTTTAACCTTTTTCATTTTAATCTGCTACTTGTCTTGCCCACTAATTCTATGTACATAATGTCTCTTACCTTCTGCAGGAGACATCTGCAGTCACGGGACATGACTAGGTTAGCCAAGAGGGAGAAAGCCAGATTCTGGATGATGCTGTTATCTGGGGCAAGCGCTGAAGCCAGTTTCATGACAGAGTGCATCAGTGAGCTAGTGGAGGAGCTTTTAGATCCTGGTACAAGGCCAGGGCCACTGCCACAAAGAGAACTGCATGCTGGGAACAGAAGAAGGAAAATGGCTTTATTAATCTGCTCTTATTCATTTATATTTATAAGAACATTAAAATAAAACATGCTTATTTTGCCCTTTGTGGATGTCTGGATCTACATCACACACGCACAAAATCAAATACACATAAAATCACATGCCTGTACTACACTGAAATCTTGTGTCTGGACTGGAATCACAACTTCTCTCGCCAATTTCAGCATTAAAAAAAAAGTCAAACACACATACAGTGAAACCAATTTTTTCTTGTTGTTGGAAGTACTCTCTGGTTTTTTTTTTGTTTACCTTAATGCTGGCTAGCTCGCCAGACAGCAGCACTAGTAGCTGCATAAACAGGCCTTGTCTTGCACGGCTGTCTGCCCACCACACCTAAACATCTCCACGCGGCTGCATGGAGAGCTTACTTTGGTGTAAAGACAGTCTAGCTAAATGACCAAAATGATGGAGACAAGTGGAACTTGTGCACCAATACAGAACATAACATATATGTGAAGGAAGAAGTGCTGACAGGCACAAGTTAAGAGCCAGGAAAAACAAAATATGATGAAAAAAAGAGTCCTAAAGTAACTTTAAGCCTTTCACAGGTGAAATCGGAGAGTTTCAGAAACACTTTTGAAAAGCACTTCATTTATTTAATATTCAGTCACCACGGAAATACTCGAGTGATGACAATTAGGCTCGTTTGACTCTGGGTGGGAAGTAAATCGTGTAGCTCCAATTCTACTAAGAAGGCACATTCACTTTAGCATAACTGACATGACTAATTGGCATGGATGTACATTACACACAAAATACAGAAATTAACAAGCTTAAGTTGAAGAGAATTCACGAGGCAGCCTGAAACTGACTGACATTTCTTGTTGGAGAAAATGACAGCTTGATGGTTTTGCTAATCCTGGATTGGAAACAGGCATATGCTGATCTTAGCCTGCGGTTATCTCAATACCTGTCAAGAAACCTGGTGTGTCATAAAACTGACAAGGGGGATCTGCTTTAATAAGTAACCGTTTCTCTGATACGAGTCAGCTGCCGATTAATTATTTTGCAGCCATGCAACATATACTTCAAAAGGAGAGATCCCTGCATGTAAGTGAAGAAAAAAAATGATTTTCATTTGTTTTACTTTCTGTGTGTCTGAGGGAGCAAGTTTTGGGCTGCTCCAAAAATATCTGTGGAAAATATGTGTGGCACAGATGAAAACAACAATCTGACTCGAACTAGCAGCGTTAACAAAGCTTTGGATGAAGGAGGTAGACTGGAGATGAAAGGTTCAGCAGAAATGTAGCGGTCTCGGGAGACCGAGTGGTAGCCTGAGGGTGTATGGTGTAATACTGAGCCTGGCTGCATGCAGGCTGAACACAACCTGCTGTTCAGTTAACCTTTAGGGAAATACTGTGCCCGACTTCACTGCTTTCTGGTGCTTCACAGCTTGAGCTTATGGGGGGTCTAAAGCGAGGGCGTTTAGATCAGAGCGTGCACACGCACCCACTGAGGAACTGATGCCAATCAAATAGAGATATGCATACGCATGCACGCACGCACAGATGCACACAATTTTAGAAACCTTCATAAGTGTTGCACATAACGCCCCCCCCCCTCCACACACACACACACACACACACACACCACCAATGATGAAACTGATTTCTAAGCCAGTCGCACACGCATGCATGCACACAAACACATCAAAGGTACCACAGGCTGTTTATCAAAGTACATTTTCCCAACCGTTTCCTTCCTATAAATCTTTCAATTTTTCCACTCAAAAACGGTTTTTTTTCTCTTTTTCTTGCACGTCTTTTTGGTTTCCACATACATGGTTCTTACATTTGCATGATGGAATACTGGTACCTCGAGCAGCACAGAGATGCTCTGTTCCTCCCCACATCATGCTCTAAAACTGGCTGCTCTGCATACAGCGAGACAGCTGTGCAGCCTGACCTCTGGATGCCACACTGTGCCTATTGTGAGTGGCAAGCAAGAAGGCACTGGGTCTTATACAGTTGAGATGCAATGCAGCTCTGTGGTTATTAGAGAGAACAATGGGACTCTCAGTGCAAAGTGTGTATGACTCAGTCAGATTGCCAACTACAGACAGAGGCGATGGGCAGGCACGGGCCAGGCACAATGCCTACACAAACACACAAGCATACACACACACACACACACACACACACACACACACACAGGCAAACATAAACACACAAACATGCAGACCTGTTGTGCAGTTGGCCGTGTAAACGCACAGAAGCTCCAGAACCGCCTCCATAGTTGCGTCGTCCAATAGGAGCCAAGGCCAAAGGGCATTGAGCGCCTGTGTTAGGTGAGCATCTGTGGCAACCACCTACAAACGCAAACAGATTTTACACACACGCGCATGATTTATACAACAGCTCCAACAAAGATGACAGTAATCAACTTAAAATGCCTCAATATTTTCCTAAGCGTGCAGGAAACGCACACAAGGCGGAGACTGATGGCAGGGTAAACACTGCAGTGGAGCCTTCATGGCTTTTTAGTCTGAGCTAACCGACAGTGACTGAAAGGCCACTTAGAAAATGAAAACCAGCTAAAAAGCCTCATAAGTAATGACATTATAGGGTGCGAGAAGCTAAACTTGCTGAGATGTTAGCTGAGCCGTGTGCATTTAGGCAAATTTCATTCACAGAACAGCGCCGGTACTCTGGGGTTGCATTAAAAACCAATTAGCAGTGGGGAATTAAAAGGTAGGCACAGAGGCTTACTTTGCATTCATCATTGCAATAAAGAGCACTCCGCAGGATCTCCACAGTCAGCTTGACTTCCTTCAAATAGCCCTCTTCCTGATAATATGGGAAAACAAAAATAATAAAGTCCAATAGGCTTCATTTTCCAAATTTAAAAACACTCTTTACCGCAGTCATTAAAAGCTTATAAGAACAGTAAGCAGACTTTCTGCTGACAAGTACAACCCATATTCATAACATTTACCCAAAAACTCATTCGTGTTCAATTCAGTTTGTTATTCTATCCAAAGGGAAAAGAAATGCTGAGATTGGAAATTTCCAGCCAGTCTGTGCTCACCTTTTTGCGGTGGGAAGCCTTGCTGGGCCGGACTGACTCCAAGTGGAGCTGGGTATGAGTTTGCTTCAGCTGCTCCACACAGGTGTCAATTAAACCAGCTAGAACACAAGACAATCCGAGGTTCACACTCGGTTAAACTATCACCAAGATACCACGTTTCTACTGTTATTCAAGCACTTTTTAACACAATCACAAAAATCGCTCAAAAACAGGTTTGCTTCAAAGATGAACTTTTAGGGACACGGTTTAAAAAGATAGATGAACATAAAGAAACCAGAGTAAATGACAGGTGATAATCTAACTCCTGCCTGACGTTTGGGGGATTACCTTTAACTGCATAGTTTTGAGCTGTGGGGCTGCAGGCTAGCAGTGTCATCAGAGCTCTAGCTGTAAGCTTCTTTAAAGGGTCCTGAGTGGTCCTCTTCTCAAAGCTCTGGCAGCAGAAGTTGAAGCAGGACAGTGATTGCGCCGCACAGTAACACACTTTCAAATTCAAACTTTTTTACATAACATTGACCAAAAGCATGTAACTCGATTTTTTGTTCCAAAATAATTCCTAGTGAACACAAAGCTAGCTAACAACACAGCTGATTACCTGAGACCATCACCCCATCATACCTGTAATAAGAGCTCACACAGCTCGCTGGCTGAGGGACTATTCAGGACGTCTGAGAGAGATCTGACATACTTTGAGTTTGAGGTTGTGACCTCTTGACTGCGGCTCTTTGTTTCCTCTGTGAAAACTGTACAGAGAAACTGCAGAGCCACCGTGTGAAGGAGAGGCTGCGCAAACCTCTCATTTACGCACACCGATAACGTTCCTGCAGACACACGGGGAAAATGAGAGTAAAAAACTGCAACCCTGTGATAGCTAAATATTTGTTCATGAATGAGGTAGTAGGTGCGAGAAGTAAGCACACGAATTATTTGAATGGCACCAAGATATTGTGAACATGTCAACTCAAAACTACACGCACAAAGGCTCAGCTTTATTTCACTGGACTCATCAGACTTCCCTGCTGCGCCATTAATCACACAGGAAGACAAGTAGGGGTAGTATGAGGACAGGATGCAATTATCGTATCGTAGCATCTGTTCAGGAAAGTTAATACAAATAGTAATGATGCAAAAAGCATGTTAAAAAGACAGAATTGATTTTTTTCTGCATCAGATTTAAGGCTGCACAATTACACCTAAAATGCTAATCCTGATTATTTAGTCAGTTACTGCAATCAACATAATTACACCTAATCACGGTTATCAGTCTTTTATGATGTAAGACCGCATTTCATCAAGCAAGAGCTTGTGTCTTAAACCTCAGTGGGCTGTTTAAATCAAATGGAATACATAATTTCACAATAGTATATAATTGTGCAACATGAGAAGTGATCAATATTACAATATAAAATTCTGTAGTCCAAATTGCAGTTATTACATTATTCTACCCCCCTAGTTTTGCTCGCATACTGAGCCGAGCAACCTGCGTACCTGCAAACGCTCGCCAGTGTCTCCCCAGCGCAGCACAGACAGATGGGTGCGCTGCTGAGCCGTCCCTCTTCACCAGAGTAGCCAGGAGCATAAACACGTCTACCCAGCACATACAAACCACGTCCCGGGTACCTGCGTCTGAGGAGGGAAAGGGTGAGTCACAAATTTTCTGACACAAGACAGCCACAAAGAGACACACAGAGTGCACTACAGGGCATGCTGCAAAAAGAGTGGGACCAATGTCCAAACAGGACTTGATTTTGAAGAACTGTTTAGGTTTTTTTTTTTTGGGGGGGGGGGTCACCAATGATGGCATACATACAAATTTTGGAAAACAGTCTAAATCATTGTTTCCTTTAAATATAATATGATTTTCTAACCTAAACCATTAGTATCCAGCATGAGCACAGCCACCAGAGAAGACAACAGCTTCTTCAGGAAGTCCATCTGTCCAATCGGCTCCTCGCTCACTGTGACATATGACTGCAGGAGTTTTGAAAAGCTGGACAGGAACTGAAGTATGGTGACAAACTAGAAAGGAAAAATAATGCAGATATTTATTGAACAGTTAAAATTAAAAAAAATAAATCATATGATTAAAAACATGTCCAAAACAATGGTATGTTTTGAATATGAGCTTGTTTAGTATTCCACCCACACTGAAATCTGGAGATGCTCTTAGATAACCTCGTGCTGCACTCAAATGCACTGTTTTGCTTTGTTTTTTTCAAACCAGCCCACAGTTTTTTGTGGTAAGATATAATAATAATAGAAATGTTAAAAACGTTGGAAAAATTTCTTTAGATGCATCTAACGCAGTAATCCTCACCTGGCGTTTGATGTCCTCTCTCTCTCCTGGAAGGATGTTTGGCGTCTTCAGCTCAGTCAGACACTTTTCAACGGAGCCAAGAGCCACCAGACTGAAGAAGAAAATAAACATGATGGAGAAAGTGTGTGCTTGCAAGGAACCAGCTAGAGGGGGATTAAGGCTACAATTAACGTGAATTTTGTAGTCAAATATGCACACTTTTATTTAAATGGTGAAAAAAACGGTGCAGGAATGCAAGGTGTAGTTTTTGTATCTGTATTTTATGGTTTTTGTGTTTACAAGGACAAAAACTTTCTGCTTTTGTTTTTTTACAAGTCTTTCCCTTAAATGATTATTTGCTTAAAAGCGCAAACACTTAAATCAATGCTTGCTTAAGATGATAATACATCAAGGGTGGTTGAGCTGGTGTTCATGTGGACTCAGCATGTGACCTCTTACCTGGCCAGAGCTTGAAGGAGCTGGTTATGTCGGATGGCAGTGAGGGTGAAGTCTGGCAGGATGGCCAGCAGGTTGGTCAGCAGGCCGCAGTGGGCCGTCAGGAGGTCAGGCGTTACCTTGACAACGGGTTCCACGGCCAAGGGCTCGCCCTGTCGGGAGTCCTGCGAGGTAATAGAGTTGCTGGTGTCTGTGTCGCTCTGGCCTGCGAGACACATCAATAGAGGGCTAACAGACACACTTCCTGAAAAAGGGTTCACATATTGTAAATCACGTCTCTGTCTCTGGCTACCAACCACTGACCACATAATCAAAAGCAGTAAACCAAAGAAAAGCACTGGAGAAGACTGCACTACTTTCTCAGCTGTGTATTTAGGATGCTCACATAAACACAGAACTTGGTTTAGTTTAAGACAATCAGTAGCCATATTGAGAGCCGCTGTTTCAGAAGGGAAAAAATAAAAGGTTTATGCAGTACTAAGAAGTAAACACACAGTTTTACTGAGGCTGTTATCCACAGACATTTCTCATTTCAGTACCTTGAGCCATCAGTCTGCTGACAGGGGTATCTTGTGTCATACTCAGTGGGGAGGGAGCCTTTGGGGAGTGTGGCCTTGAATCTCTTATCTATAATGGACAACATTAAGATGTGAGGATCCATTTAACTTTAATGCAGCGGTTCATTTATTGGTATGCATATTGCTGCGCTGACCACAGTGCTAGAGGTGGAGAGAGAGCTGGAGGGTCTGCTGGAGTTGACTGTGGGTGCTGGTGGGTTGCGTCCCGAAAGCCACAGAGAATTCTCAGAATCTACACAAGCATATAAACAAAACAACACATACAGATTACAGCAGTGTTATAAGAAAATGTAGGGGGAAAAAAGGGAAGAAAATCAATAATGAAAGTCAGTGTGGATGTGTACTGCTGGAACAAATCCACATTATCAGGCTTGAAGAGAGTAATTAAGGAAAATCAAAAGAATTAGCTTACCCGATGAGGCGCTCTCCTGAAGTCTTGGGCCACAGTGAGAGCCAACACGAGGCTGGATGTAGAAAGTGTACCTGCCGCAGTAACAATTGGAGGCAGAGAGACCCACATGCTGGAAATACTGACAGTGATAGAGCAGAGCCTGCAGTGCTGGAAGACCCACCAAAGACACCCCAGACACTTCATCGCGAACACACGGGTGCTGGACGATGAGAGGGCGACAGGAGAATAGATGTTTCAGTATTTAATGCAAACATTATATTTTTATGATGCAATTATGATTCCCATTGAAATTTACAAATTAAAAACAAAGAAACCAAAGAGAGTTGAAGAAAAGGACAAAGTGAAGAGGCTGAGGGCATTCGTTAAGTTGCGCCACTGATGTAAGACATTTCATTCATTTTACAAATGTCACTTCATAGCTACAGGATGACATTTTGTGTCCTAGTTTTATTTTGTTTTTGGATCTTTCTTTTCTTTTCATATAGCCCCTGCACAGCTAGGCAGCAAGTGTAACCGTTTCTGCTTTCTTTTTTTTGCACTTGGCCTGCTTTGTACTTTGCAATGTTGTGTGCAT